CAAATAAAAAAGCACATTGAGTCCTTCCCTTTAAAAATAAGTCACTACTCATCTAAGGAAATTAAGTACTTAGATGCCAACCTTGATATCAAGAAAATGTACAATCTGTTCTTAGACAAATTTGAGGGAAGCGATGTAGTTAATAGCTACTATTATAAAGTATTTAAAGAGCATTTTAACTATCGGTTTGGAAGGCCCCAGATTGACACATGCTGTGAGTGTGAAATGCTTAATACTCGCATTAAAAACCCTCAACTAAATGAGACTGCTAAACGAGTAGCTGAAGCACAGCTATTAGTTCACAAGAAGCGTAGTAACAAATTTTATAAATCAATTAGTGAGACCAAAGATTACTGCGCCTCACACAAAAACGCTTTACTTTTATGTTTTGACTACTGTGCTAACATATCTTTGCCAACCCTTCCAGTTCAGGACGTGTATTACCTCAGACAGTTGTCAGTTTACCCATTCGCTATTCACAATAGCAATAATGACTCAGCAACTTTTTACCTATACCATCAAGGTGTTGCTGCTAAAGGTTGCAATGAAGTTTGCTCTTTCATACAAAAATACATTAATGACAATGTACCTGCAAATGTTGATGAATTGTACCTATACAGTGATAACTGCACAGGTCAAAACAAAAACCACACCATGATCAGGTTTTTGCAATATCTCATAGACAGTGGAAGATTTAAAAAAATTGTGTATCGACTTCCAATAAGAGGACACTCGTACCTGCCATGTGATAGGGTATTCGGCGTTGTAAAAAGAAAATTAAGAAGATGCGATCGCTACTATACCGTAAAAGAGGTAACGGAAATGATAATAAGTGCTTCAGTACAAGGGAAGTTTACGGTGGACTTGGTAGACAAAGATGACATTTTGGATTTCCAAAAGTGGTGGCCCAACTTTTATAAAAAAAGCACTTTCTCAGAGGAAACCAAAACTGAAAAGAGGGGGAAAAGGGAGTATTTTACCATAACTTCTTATCATGAGTTTTCTTTTCACCATTCCAAGAAAGGTCAAGTGGTTGTTTCGGATTTTATTGGTGGATTTCCTTCAAAGACCTTTAATCTTGCTAACCAATCAAATCAACAGGTTGAAATTTCACCTCCCACTGACATTCTGTATAAAGAAAAAGTTCCTATACCAAAGAAGAAAATGGATGACATCAAGAAGCTTGTCCAATACGTTCCTCAAGAACACCTAGCCTTTTACCATGAGCTTGTTTGTTGGCCAACAATTGAGAAAGACAGTTAAATAAGACTTTTTCTAACTCGATTCTATTTTAACTCATTATGAAATGTAATAATGTGTGTTTTTTTTACCAAAAATAAATTTGTATTTTAGTCACGCTTGAAAATAAAAAATGGGTTTTATGTTTTCAAACCTTTTTTTATGAAAGGGCTCATGTCAGTAGTTTTTAAAAATTTGTATAAAAATTAAATATAACATTAAAGTTACAAAAACCAAATTCTAATATTTTAAAGGATTAATATATCTAAAATAGCAAAAAAACTGAAACTAAGTATTGTAACTTAGCAACCAAACAGTTTTTCTTGATTTCCCAAAAATTTGGTTTCAATGACAACAGCCCTTTCATAAATAACTGATTCATGTGTTGTTGCACGTGACGCCTGCAGAATATGGGATACGGGCCTCTATCCGACCGCCTCTTAAAATAGCATATTATGCATATGTTCAATAATTGTTTTCTTTTGGAATTATTGCTTTTGGTGGTGCTTACAAAACTATCTTGCATCCTGTTTTTGTAGTGCAGAAAACAATACTTAAAGTTGCTTTTAAAAAACACTTTAGATATTCAACTAACGATCTTTTTGTAGAATCGGGAGTTTTGACAGTCAGGCAGTTATTTTTAAAATTTATTTTAGTTCACATTTACAAAAACTTTGATAATATTTTTGTAAAAATTACTCATCCCCACAATACACGCTTTTCTCAAAATGTTGGTATAATTGTCCCACAAACTTTAAAATTATTTTCACATACAAATTGCTTTCACTTAACCTAAATCATTTATTGTAACATTAGTACAGTAAAAATATTTTTTGACCCAAAAAAAATTAGCACAACCGGGGAATTTGGTACAGATGTTGGGTGTACCTTCCTTTTGAACATACTAAAAGTCCCCTAAAATTGAAGCTGTGCTACGGCCGCCATATTGGAAAATGGTGGCATATTTCAGTATTTTTCGCTATATTGACTTTATTATTAGAGATACAGGAAAAAACTAAATATACAAAATGTAGGTCATCTAAAAATACACATTTTTTGTATTTACCATCTTTCTCTAAACCCAACGGGTTTTGAGTTATTTGTTATTAAGTATATTTAGTTTTTTCTATTTATCAAAAATAGGTGAAACACATGGAAATTGAACGTTACTATCAAGGATTATGATAATGTATTCTATTTAGTTAAATAGTATGATACTATAAAATCTCAAAATTTAAGCTTATTTTATGAGTAAAACAACTACGCCACAGCAAACCTGCAGACTCAGCAAATTTCCATTTGATTGGATGTTTTATTAAAAAATGTATATAAATAAAATTAGGTTCAACAGGTACCTAGGTTTGCTGCTACAGGTAGGTTATTTTAGTGTGTTTTTTTAAGTAAAATATCAATACCTTACAATAAAATAACTAATTTTCCAAGTTTGATCAAAATATATCTATAAACAAGCAAACTGCAACAGTTAACTAATTCATAAGAATAGCATGGGAGTTTTAAATTTACAATAAACAAATTTGAATATACAAATTTTGGTTGTGTTTACTAAAAAGGTGGCGATTATTCGTCACGATTAGAATATTAACCAAATGGGTTTTTAAAAGGAGATGGAGCCTGTTATTTATGTAATATTAATTCGTACCAAGCACCGAAAATATTGTATGCACTAAGGTAATCTACCATATTTTGTAAAGTACGCAATAAATAGTCATATTAATATTTTATCTTCATTTTTTACCCATTTAATAGTTAACATTTTAGTATTTTGATGGCACCACCACACTAACTAACTATACTTGACATCCCATTGTAAATTTGGAAGGGTGTTTTTCGTGTCTAGTTCATGTTGGTGACTAATTAAGTATGGTATAGTATAGTTTGTTTTATTTATCAAAAATCGGTGAAACCCATCGCAATCGACGGTTACTTTCAAGGTTTACGACAATTATTCATCCCACTTAGTTGATATCAGAGTGATAGTGGGAAGCCATCAAAATATTAAAATGTTAATTTATTAAATGGGTAAAAATGAGTATAAAATATTAATATGACTATTGCGTAGTTTACAAAATATGGTTGATTTCCTCACTGCATACAATATTTCCGATACTTGGTACGAGTTAATATTACAGTACTTAAATTACTTGCTTCATCTCCTTTTGAAAACCCCTTCGGTTAGTATTCGAATCGTGACGAATAATCGCCATCTTTTTAGTAAACACAACAAAAATTTGTATATTTTTGTAAATTGTAAATCTTAAGCTAACATGCTATTATTATTAATTAGTTAACTGTTGCAGTTTGTTTGTTTATAGATTTATTATGATCAAACTTGGAAAATTAATTATTTTATACTAAGTTATTGATATTTTACTAAAAAAAACACACTATAATAACCTACCTATAGAAGCAAACCTAGGCACCTGTTGAATCTAATTTTATTTAAATACAATTAATAAAACATCCAATCAAATGGAAATTTGCTGAGTCTGAAGGTTTGCTGTGGCAGAGTTGTTTTACTTATAAAATAAGCTTAAATTTTAAGATTTTATAGTATCACACTATTTAACTAAATGGGATAAATTATCATAATCCTTGAAAGTAACGGTCAATTTCCACGTGTTTCACCTATTTTTGATAAACAGAAAAAAACTAAATATACTTAATAACAAATAACTAAAAAACCGTTGGGTTTAGAGAAAGATGGTAAATACAAAAAATGTGTATTTCTAGATGACCTACATTTTGTATACTTAGCTTTTTCCTGTATATCTAATAATAAAGTCACTATAGCGAAAAATACTGAAATATGCCGCCATTTTCCAATATGGCGGCCGTAGCACAGCTTCAATTTTAGGGGACTTTTAGTGTGTTCAAAAGGAAGGTTACCCAACATCTGTACCAAATTCCCCGGTTGTGCTAATTTTTTTTAGGTTTATGGAATTTTTCTCTTATTTTTACTGCACTACATGTGCGACAGATATCAAAATGTTAACATTCTAAATTCACCCTCTCTCTCTCTCTCTCTATTTAAGAAGCATGTTGTAGAGTGGCTTGTAGGATTGAGTTCAGAGGATACCGAGGCCGTTACCTGACCGTTGACCCTACACGTCACTACTGTACACAATCACTGATGATACACCACCTTGACTGACTGACCAATACACCACACTCCACCTCTCCTCTTCAATCTTCACCAGATTTTTATCAATTACCTCAGTTTGCACAAAGAGTCTTTTGTCAATTTCATCCCAAAACACTTAAAATTCAGTTTCAAGCAAGACAAATTTAAAAAATTTAAATTATACAAATTATTTTTTGTTTTCCTATAAAATTGTTTACCTCCCATTTAAAATTACTTTTTCGCAACTTTTTTCCTTTGTTATAGAAGGTATATATATTTTTTGTACACTTTTGTTTGCTTTATTTCTACAGTATATAATTTTTGTTATCTAGACAGTAATGTTTGCTGTATTATATTTAAGTAAAAAAAATACAATGTACTTATATATGTATAATTAATGGGAAATAAAATATTATTTCATTCATTCATTCATTCATTTAAGCGATCTGATCTTCAGACACATTTTATGCACTCACCACACAAGTCTTATAAATCAGACTCACCTGGAAAATAACTTCTCATTGGCAGTTAAATAATGACTACCAGAAGATTATTCCATGTGTTGGACTAGTTGGAGCAATGTGGATAGTTTTTAAGACGAGAGAGATAAAAGATCCCATTATCATAGAAGAAAGTGGTAACATTTTATTCAAATAACGTCCTAAACAAAGATAGACTCAACAATTATAAATACGAGTAACTACTGATTACACATGTATATGTATGCAAAATCAGCAGTTTACTAAAAAATAATACATTATATATTTATTACATAGGATTATAAAATTAAGATGTTTTTATATATGACAGCTAAAATAAATAACTTTGCATTATCATGTCGTCTTAATTTATTTAACCAATTGTAGCATCAATTTCAACATCTATATTCAGCTAAGGCCAGGTTGTGGTCAGCGTTGTTATGCAAGGTCTTTCCGTCGCATTTCCTTAAGCAGCTCATTGCCCATCTGGGCTGGACTTCGAGTCACAATCACTCCAGCCTGTAACATTCACACAACATCAGAAGAAGTTCACGACTTAATGGAACTCTTAACCATTACTGCCTTACTTTGGCAAGAATTGGTTAGTGTTAAAATTATTCGTAAAGAAAAAACATTATTATCTTAAACATTTTAGTTATGATATTCCTTATGGTACACCAATTATAGACATAACATACCAAAGAAGATAGTCTATATGGACCAGTTTTACCTATTAGCGAATTTCCCTATAGGAAAGTAGCTATTACCGTAGGTCTCATGGTAAAATCTAGGCCCGGGACCAATTTACTTTTTCATTTTGATGTCCCCAGAGGCCAAAAACACCATTCGTTCAAATTATATATATATATATATATACGTGTGTGTGTGTCTGTCCAAACAATAACTTGAGTAATTTTTGTCCAATTTTGATAAAATTTGGTTTGAAGGTGTAAGGCGGGATAACCTTGAATGAGTTCGCGAACCAGCATGATCAGACCATGCTTCAACTTATTCAATACTAGCTGTACCCGCGGGCTTTGCCCAATATGGCTCATTCACGTCCTGGTTGAAGTTCGTTCGCTACGCTCACTCACCTTTAGGTTGGAGCTCGTTCGCTGCGCTCACTTGCCTTCAGGTTAGCTCGTTCGCTACGCTAACTCTCCTCCAGGTTGAAGTTCGTTCGCTACGCTCACTCACCTTTTGGTTGGAAATTAGCTGTTGTCAAAATTAAAAAAAAAATAATAGTGCTGCACCCTGTTGGTAATCCTTGTAACTTTTATGCTATTGAACATCATAGAACAGAACCAATTTTTTAAATTGAAAAAGCTGTTAAGATTCATTAATTCCTTTTAAATATGAAACATCATAAGGTTAACATGGGGAACTACAGAGCCACTGGGGCGGAGCCCGAAAGGATTTTTGAGATAAGAATGTGCTTTAAATGTTAATCGGAAATGTGAGCTATCATCATGCCAAATTTCAGCCCAATCCGTCCAGTAGTTTATGCGCGATTGAGCAACACACACACAAACACACACACAAACTCACAAACTTTGCGATTTATAATATTAGTAAGATTTTTGTTACTGAGGAATTCAAAGTGACATTGGTTTACAACAGGAATCTAAATATATAAAAGGCAAAGCCCTCACTGACTCACTCACTCATCACTAATTCTCCCACTTCCCATTTACCTAGGAGGCTGAAATTCGGTACACCGATTCTTTGGGCATTAAATAGGAAAACTAAGTAGTTTTTATTCTGATCGGGCTTTCGGGCTCCGCCCCAGTGGCTCTGGAGTGACAAGTGGCTCCTGAAGACAAGTGAGCGTAGCGAACGAGCTAACCTGAAAGCAAGTGAGCGCAGCGAACGAGCTCCAACCTAAAGGTGAGCGAGCGTAGCGAACGAGCTCCAACCTAAAGGTGAGTGAGCGTAGCGAACGAACTTCAACCAGGACGTGATTGAGCCATGCGAACGAGATCATCTTGAAAATTAAGAAGTTAAACGGGGCAAAGCCCGCGGGTTACAGCTAGTAATATATATATATACGTCCGTGAACGCGATAAACTTGAGTAATTTTTGTCCGATTTTGATGAAATTTGGTCTTAAGGTGTAAAGCGGGATAAACTTGAATGATTTTGCAAACCAGCATGATCAGACCATTGGAACGGGGCTTAACAGGGGGTTTTATAGGGTAAAAATTGGTTTTTCTCACTTTTGACCCTCAAAACACAAAATTTCCCAATTTCCCCTTAGACCTATTTAAAGAGCTTAAAAAACAAATAATTTAGTGCATAAAAAAATTTTTGTTCGGTTATTGGTTACGGAGAAAATAAAAAAATTGGAAATTAAAAATTCCCATGTTATTCTTATGGAGAATATTGTAAAATGTTGTAGTTTGCTTGTTTATGGATATATTTTGATCAAACTTTATCAAATTTATTTATTTTATACTAAGCTATCATTATTTTACTAAAAACACACTTTATTAGTTTTCTTGTAGCAGCAAACCTAGATACTCGTTAAACCTAATGCTATTTTAATATATTTAATTGAAAATCAATTCAGACAAATGGAAATTCGCTTAGTCGGCAGGTTTTCTGCGGCGGGGGTATTTTTTAAATAATTTATTTAAAATAATGTTTTTAAAATAATTTAATTATTGTTATTAGCCTATGACGAACACATACAAGATGAAGATTCCTACAAACGATGAACGAGGATGTTAGCCAATTTTTAGTAGAAGCAATGGGCTTAATTCAGGGCCAAACTTACCTATGGGCGGACAGGGCCAGCACCCGGGGCCCCGTGCCCCCAAGGCCCTTGCACAATACTTTTTTTATAAGGTTTTTTTATAGGTTTTTATTAATAACTTCAAAAATAAATTCAGACACTTACCGAATGGCCTTCTTTTTTAACAGCTTAATTGTCGTTATCCTATACTTAAGGTTATTGTTAGGTGCACCTTTAAGGCATTACTAGGAACAAAATTCTTGACTCTAAGGGACTTTTCCTCAGAGTTGCACTGGGCCCCGTGTTTAAGCCTGGTTTACACGAGCATAGCTGCTAGGCTGTGACGGACCAGTTTCAGCTTCAATGAAGCCGTTCAACGTACGGCTGCGCCGCGTCGATCGAGTTGAAGGGGGCCTCGTGCTTGGGGTAAAAAATACAATAAATATAAAACTCTTGTCCCAACATAGAACGTAGCTTGTAAAATTGTGTTGTGTTGGAGATTCAATGGAGTTCAAATACTTTCAAAAATAAAAACATTGCTCCGTATATGTTTAATTAAATGTTATTCTTTTACCTCTAAGTATATACCAACCATAATTAACAACAGGGGCAGAAATATATAATCCATTCAGTTATATAAAAGGTTTTGTAAAATAATGATTATTATGCGTAAAAATTTGGATCACCGATTTAGTCGTTAGAGTCAAAATCATACAGCTCCAGTACGATTTTAAAAATCTATATATATACATTTTATAACAACTAGGGTCGTCTGATATCAACAAAAAATTAACATTATTTGTCGACTGAAGTCGATATACAATAAACAACCTTTTACAGTAAACTACATCTATTGAGTACCCTAATTGTGTTTTATTATTATTTTATTTATTGTATAGAAAATGTTTATTTATTTTTGTGCTAAATGTTTTTAAAGACTCATATTCATTTTAGAAGGCAAAGATTGTGTCAACCAAACAGACGGTTGTTATCAACCATTGTTTCAAAGTGTTATATTTTTGGATGTACATATTACCTTATCGTTTAATCGGAGATTGGGTGGTTGTCTAAAAACAATGTTTGGTGGATCTTTCAAAAAAATTATGGTGTGGTTGGAGGCCGGTGTGGAAATGGTTGCGGTATTTGTAAGCAGCTTTTAATGTAAACATATTAGTGACAGCTAGAAGTGAGAACTAATCCAAACAGCTGATCGTTATTTCATAAAATGTAATAGTAAACATTGGGAGAAAATTTGACAAAATTCGAACCAAATTGGGTTTTTGATGGTTCGTTATTTTGTTTTCAAAGAAGCGAGGCCATGTTTTTATAGCCAAAGACACTCTCATCAATCCAGTAAATACGGAAAAATTATTAGAACCTTGATCGGAACTTTAGTTTTCTAGGATTAGGCCGCGCAAAATGACATTTTGGCACAGAATAGACAAACAGACAGACATAAATTGAGATAAGACTCGTTTCGGCTTTCCAGGGTTGCCACCACAGTGGGATGATAAAATTCATGCAGAATTCATGGTTTTCATTGGTAGTTTACAAAAAATTCATGGTCGTTGTGCTTATACAATTTCAACACAATTCAGTTTTGCTGATTTCATAAACTGACGTTAAAGAGGCAGTTTCTTTGTGTGTTACTTTTGAATAACCTTTCATACTTAATATACAACTTTTTTAGAGTGCTTTATAAACATTCAAAAGAAAGTTGAAAACAAAACTTGTATGCTCATATTCTATATGAGATATTATTGGAGAAGAATTGTAAAATATATTAAGTCTAGGTCTAATTCAGTCATTCCACCGGAATAAAACAAAAATCCCACTCACCCAGCCAAAAAAGTCCTGTTTCATCCAGTTTTATCCCCCTACATAATTGTCATAAAATGTGCATTCTGGTTTATCTTATTCCACAAAGTACTAAGATGCATCCTACACTCATCTCCATTCATACTAATACCTACATAATTAATACCTACTATGTATGGTCGCCATTTAATAAACCTTGGACCTTTAATAATAAACCTTTAATAGACCTTGGAATGAGTCACAGCGGCCCTGTCCTGCACCTGCTTCATGTCTCTCTCTCGCGTTTGTTATAATTACTGTAAATGTTTAAACAACGATACCGACTGAACCAGCCAAGCGATTTTAAAAATTTAAAAAGTAAAATTAATTTAAAATTATTGTCTTTAAAATTACTACCTGCAATTTTCATTTTTTATTTTGTAACACAATTATTTTACTATAATTTTTTTAACCAGCAACTTAATTCAAATTTATCTTTAATGGCGTGAATTGTTATCATATCCCGTTCACAAATCATTTTTTGAAAATGAAAATCGGATGAAAATTCCACCAATGAACATCAACACAAAATGACTCCATTTTGGTGCTGTGACGTGGTGGTAGAATTTGGAACTAAACCTGGGATGTTTAGCCTTAATAATTGATTAAATATTAATTGTAACACTTTTATTTTCATTTAAGGGCTATTTTATTTTATTTGTAAGCATAATTGTTATTTTCTTTAATACATTTCCTTTTTTTCATAAATTGTGTTTTTATTATTTTTCACAGCAATCAAGTCTCAGGAATTAGCATAAAATTTCATAAGAGATTAGAGTTAGGATTTTTATTGTTTAAAAGCCTTAAAATTTCCTCTTTGGCCTCAACATAGTGGTCCTTCGAGCCGGATTTTGATTAGTTGTGGAATATTATAATAACAATTTATTTGAAGTGAATAGGCCTTACTATTTAATTGTGTTTTAAATAAA